TGGAATCCTATTGTAAAAAAAAAAAAAAAATTGCTCTGCGATATTCTTTTTTGTTTGTCCTCCATTCATTTAATCTGCTTGCAGAACTCGAGAATATTTCTAATTCTTCTTTCAATATAATATCCTGAAAGATTCTTTGCTCAGTAGATGAAATCCCTTCTTTATATAAATTTTAATCACGTATTACGAATATTACAGTTCTCTCGATTCTGAATTCTACATCTTTTGAATAATTATACGAATCTATTGATACTTGCTAACTCATAGTCAATCCTTCACCTGTATCATAAGTTGCAGATGAATTCTTCCTGAATAACTATACATGGATTACCTTCCTGATAGTGTAAATTATTTGTTAGTTGGAAGAACCATTCAGAATATTATTCTTGATGATTCCATGTCAGTCAGTAGAACGATTTTTAAGTTTTTAATATCATTTTTCCCTTTATATTTTTTTTTATCTCAAGAACAGTGTTAATGCAATATACACCTGCTAAATAATAATTCAAGAATAATTATTTGTGCAAGGTAAAATAAGTTTCGGCTTTAAATAATCCACACTGTATTAATAAGCTGAAAAAATATAACATAATATAATATACGCAAGGAAAAAGAATTGTTTTTAAAATCCCAAATATGTTTTGGCTGTGAATAACCCAAAAACGGTTGATAAGTAGTCAAAAGTTATTAATCATTCCCACTTATGTACATATTGGATGCCTCCTTCGTAATCGAATAGGCTTATCGCACAACATTAATCAATCAATGTTTAATGATCTTGCGATCGAATTTGAATGTTTGTCCAGCCAATGATTCACATCATTTGCATGATTTACATCTGAATCTTCAGTAGCATAAAGCAGTTGATCTGAAACACTTCCTGAGCATTGCCATTTGTATCAATAATATCCACGGCCACAAACAATAAAGATCTTCCAATATCGAGAAATGCCTGTGCATGAAATATTATATAGTGAGGAAAGATAATTCCGTGTGTTAAACTCATCATTCTTAATGCAAAAAATAAAAGAACAAGACTACATCATCGATTGCTAGTGAGCTGCAGATGAGTATTTCTAATAGTTGAATAACTTAAAAGGGGCTAATGGAGTCACTAACACTTGTGAAGTCTCTGCGTGATGACCGAATAAGCTGTAAAAAGGTTAATTTGCCCTTTCACACGTATTTTTTTACTTTTGAATCCTGCTAGATGCCTGTCCTCCTCACCAGTTTAATCGCCGAGAAGCCGATCATGTGACAGATAGTACGGTTTTATATGATAGCAAAAGATCCTGTTGAGTGATCGTAGACCTGATATACAAACATACATAGGCTGACTTCTGTTCACATTTTTTAAACAGGAGATTGCGCTTTTGAACCAAAATTGTGAGAATCTATCCAAAGGACATGATTTTGTTTTGGTTTTATTCGAGTATTTTAATCGGTATCGGAATCTTTCAGGAATTTTATTAGTCCCGTATTGATTGGGGTGAGCCAGAACTCATTCCATAATTGAAAAAAAAAAACAATATCAAAAACAATATCAATTAAACAGACTTAACTTTTCGATTGAATACACAGACACATCCCATCGGTTGATGGCTTTTCAGTTGAATACACATACTGGCACGTCTACAAAAAACAATACCCTGTCCGGTGGCAAAAGCTGCTGGTATCGCCGGGGGTGGGATTACCGACTTAGCCACCGAAACTGTGTTATATTTCCTGGTTGCCGGCTAATGAGGGCAGGTATCGTACGTGTTTTCACACATTGTATATAGAGGATTGAACAACAAGACCCGCTTAAAAGTAGAATGACTCTTCGGAAAGACGAAGTGAGACCTCGGAAAGACGAAGTGAGACCTCGGAAAGACGAAGTGATTTACCGGAGAGCAGTGGTAACGTCCTGGAAAGACGGGAATAAAGCAGTTATGAATAGCGAAACAAACGAAAATGCCTTCTTGTTGTTGTAGCAGTGAGGGAGAATACATCATCCATTTGAATGGTTTCAATGATAACGACATGGAATTGAAACTGTCTACAACGCGTGATTGCAGCATGAAATTCAACAGCCAGCGAGGTTTACATATTCATAAGGCAGACTGGTATAGGCAACGCAATTCCCCACTTGGAGAATGTAATTCGAATGATGGGACTATGAATTTGGATTACACCCACAGTGTTCGGTATTCCATTGCCGAGCCTCAGTACCCGAGAGAAATTTCAGGCAAGACAAGGACCCAGCTGCCTAAAGACAATCAGAGAGCTACTTGGTCGAATCATTATCAGGAACCTCATTAATACTTACCAACCATCTAAAGGACCACACTAGTCAGCAGATAAGATCTTTCTTCAGAGTTGTTCAACTCGCGCATGCGTATAGACCAGTCCCTCTTGAATTAATTCGAATGCGCTCGAATTATTCACTTTCGCTACTAAGGTTGGAGAAGTGATAAGGAAATATTTTAGAGCAGTGTTCATGGAGTTCAACATTAGCAACTACACCATCAAGATTCAAGCTCTTGAGGTTGGCATCATGATGGGATGTGTTGTTTCACCACTTCTTTTAATTATGTCCAAGGAACACTTATAGCGCGGTGTAGTGATGACTAAGTAACAAATGGTCCTTCCTCCTTCCAGAGCGTTCATGGAAGGCATCGCCATTCTGGTCCCGTCTAAGGCCGGTGCCGATGAACTGCTGCAGCGCTACAATAAGCTCTTTACGTGGGCAAGAATGAAGGCTAAGCCCAAGAAAAGCCGGAGCTTACGATTACTCAGATGCTCTGTCAGGGATATTCACTTCTGCATTGCGTGTGACATGATCCCGAGAGTAAAAAGAAACCAGGGAAGAGCCACAGATGGCTGTATGAAATTCCTCTGGCTGATCGGCACCGACGTAAAGAGGTGCAGAAATTGATACTAGGTGGTCTTGAATCGGTCGTGAGAACCAATCTCCTGGGAAAACTGAAGGTTCAATTCTACCCCGGCTTCCCTGGCCGTTAAAAATGTATGCTATTACAGCAGTGTACTGCGAAAGTGGCTTGGGTTCCTCTCCTACTTCACCATGTTGGGATTCTATGCCAATGACGGAAACCTGCACCAATGCCCATCTCATTGGTGGAGGAGTTCAAGGTATGCTATGATGAGTTCGTCCGCAGGCTATGGCCAGATATAGAAAATGGTCGGCAGTAGAAGCCACCCAAGAAGCAGAATCCAGACTGCGAACCAGGGAGATTATGGGGGTGACCCAAACCAGTCAAACTGGACAACACGAACAAACAGATTTTCTCCAAACAGGATCCAAAAGGGCTAATGAGACATGGTGATTGAAGAAATCAAGAAGAGCGGCGAACAACTACTGCTGTTCATCAGTCCAAGCATTGTGTTTGATATTGATCATGGAATACCTTGTTTTTAATGGAGCCATTGGCAATATCATTTCTTCTGCGATCTACCCATGATCTCCTACCAAATGCGACTAATCTCAAGCTGTGTGGGTACACTTACACAGATGTATGTACATTATGTAAAAGTGATTACTCTGAGAATGCCCAAAATTACTGCAGATGTACACGTGGCGTCATAACAAAGTGTTGGTAGTGGTCACGGACTTAGTTATTGCACAGTGTGAAGTAGCCAACAGCCTGCAAATGCCAGAGAACCTATGATCCGGTTTCACAAGGAAGGTGAATAACCAAGTTAAATAAAACCACGCTCGCAGCTTGCGACATGAAACACAAATGCAATTTTAAAAAGAAATCGCAAGAGATTGACGCGTATGCAAAAACTATACCCTGTCCAGTAGACAAAGCTGCTGGTAGCGCCAGGGGTGGGTTTACCGCTTCAACCACCAAAACTGTGTTATCTCCCCTGTTTTGCGGCTAACTAGGGTAGCATATTAGACGTGTATTCCCACGTTGTATGTATTGAAAATAAAACGTGAAAGTGAGTAAAGACTAAAAAACCTAGTGAGCCAGAAACTACCTACCTTTCTAGGTTTCACCTAATGGATCTTCAGAGTAATACTAGCTAAACAAGGTTGGCCCATTCGACACTCTATTGGAAAAAAATCCACCAAAATAAATAAAATATTGGCATGAAGACAAAAACAAGACAAAGAAAAAGAAAGCCTCTTATGTATGGAGGAAAAATTAGCTATAGCTACCTATAATAACCCGAATATGTTAATCAACCAGAGATCAAAAATCTCAATAGTTGTAGACATAAAAATGCATGATTACTTGAATAAAAGTTTTTTTTTTTTTTCTTGTTTTCTTTTTTTGTTTTTGGTATTTTTTCGGACGGCCATTTTTCCAATGAAATATCTATTGGCCTACGCTTCTTGTTTTCTTTGTCTTGTTTTTATTCTATTTCTTCTTTGCTTTTTGCTGGCCGTTTTTTCCAATGAAATGTCGTCTGGGCCAGCCCACTTCAGCTAGTATTACCCTGATGGTCTTTGGTCTGTGTTGAGTTACAGCCCGCTTTCGTGTTGTGAGTAATATGCCTTTGTATATGAATCCGCATTCAGTTACAACCCAATTTATTTTTCGTCTTGGACTGGACGTTACTTGTAAGTTTCTGCAGTGGAACTATTTATATGTAGGCTACACCTAAGAAGTCTTTTTCCCTGACGTCTGACATTTTTTTGTGTTTGTCAACATTATTTCTTGTAACTCTGTTCATCTACTGTTAGTTTGAAGTGAATATGGCGGGAGCTTTCCAGGAAAAAGAGTCATTGGACACGACACCGTATAAATCAGCATGGGCGGCGGAAAGGCATAGAAAAGGAGCCGAGTACTTCAAGGGCCTGATAGAGGAGTACAGATCATGATCTTCTTCCTGTGTCTTCGCTAATGAAGGCTGTTACCACAAGAACCATCTCCCTGTTGACGGCTGACGTCAAGACGCGTAAATTAATTGCTGTCAATGGGGAGAATATGGAATAGACCCTCAAGGTCTTAAATGTCGGGGCCAAAGTATTAGCCTTCAGGGCAAATGCCATGTCGGACATCCTACTACCAACAGTGAAGGCTGCGAAAGCATTAGGTGTACTCACCAGCAAGTCGTGCAGACTCCAATTACCTTACATGCATTGCTCATGTACATCAATGCAGGCCATTTGGGAGGCCTTCTCCTCAGATTATAGCCCCGTGGAGAGGTATCCGCCATCAAAAGCAAGTGACTATGAAGTTATGGTGATATTGACCAGGCCAAAATTTAATGAGATGCCCAACGTCATCACCTACGGCGGTCAAAACATTTATGTTGTGCAGAAGTGCCGCCATCCGAACTGCTGGCTTGTGGTGCCGCCGGTAAACTGGCAATAGTGTGTTTGAGCAGAAACACGGCACCACAGCCTCAACTAACAGCCCAAGGCGGAATTACAGAAGAAAGACAACCAGTGGTCCTGGTGGGTGGACTCAAGCGTAAGGGGGAGAGTCAAGGCGGCAACTCCGACTACACAGCAGCATGTCCCGGAAAAAAAGGAACTGCCAATATGCATCAGGAGCAGCAGCCAAAACATCAGCAGTCGAAGCAGCAGCAGCCGCGGCAGAAGCTGGCGAAAGAGCAGCAGCAACCTGAGATGCAGCGACAGCCTCAGAAACAGCAAGGAAAACAGCCAGACCATCCATCGGAAAAGCTGCAGCAACAAACGCAGCTGGAGCAACCAATGCAGCAAACAGAGCAATTGAGCTCCATCAAAATCATCAGCAGCAGACAAAGTAGCAATAACAGTTATCGCAGCTGGACCTCTCCATGGAGGTAGAGGAAATGCCTCCATCGCAAGAACTCTCAATGAAAAAGTGGGGTGGATGAAGAGGATAAGAGGACGCCAATATACCAAAAGGGAGAGGAAGTATGATCGGAGTAGGCCATCTTAGCTGCCACGACACAATCCGCTCCTGCTTCACCTGCATGAAGCAAGGAACAACATACGCAAGGTAAAGCAACGAGCCTCCTTTCTTCACCTTCTAGGGCTCCGTCTTCCCCCTCTTCCTACCCAACATTAGTCAAGAAATACATGAGAGAAAACGAAAGAAGAAAACTGTTTCCAAGGTTGGAGGGAGTGTGCACCATCGACAGTCAGTTCCTCGAGAGAAATCTATCTTCTCAGAAGAAGAACCTCTTTATGTACTTTCGTAGATGGAAAATCCACGGAAGACCCCGCAACTTCACACTCGTAAGGAATTCTTAACATGCTAATCTCGAAGCTTGGGATTACCTGGCGAAGCTTAAATGTGCTTTCCCGGAAATCAGGGTGGTGCATCTGGAGTCATCTGAACTTAAAAATTGTCACATTTGTCCTATGGGAGGTTCCTGGTGTTGCTATATCCCTACTTATATAGGACAGTTAAATTAAACTTCCGGACAGATGTCGGCGGAATTTTCTTTGCCGGTCGAATTTCTAGTAGTATGGGACAATCCGTGGAGGTCCCGACTCTCATAGATTTCCCCCCAATCTGCATTTAAAGGGTTTCCTAAAAACAACTTAAAAAGATGTCTATTAAGATAGCTAGCTTGAATGGGAGGGGCCTGAGAGATCGGAGCAAAGCTGCCCGCCTGCTTCCTGATCTCTTGTCCTTCAGTGTAATGTAGCCGAATTCCACAGACATACTTTGTTTGCGATGTCGATGATCGTGTGCTGTCTAGCGACTTTGTTAATTATTGAGCAGTGGTTCGTTTCGGATGCTTGGGTTTACGATCATGGGGAGCGTGTCGAGATTTTCCATCGGTTTGCGCTGTTCCTGGTGGATTCGTCGCGCATAGTATTAATGAAGTAATGGAATGAGATAATGGGCCCCAACATAGACAGCTTGCGGGATGTTATAGAGCGATTGTAGCTTGTTAGATCTGATGGACGAATTTTTCCACCCATCAAAATAATGAGAGATACCGCTGTTTTGTTTCGTTAGACATAATCAAGAATAACACTCAGTACTGGAATGGGAAGGATAAAAGTAATGACGGAATGGGAAAAACAAAGGCTAAGAAAAAAAGCGAACAATAAAAGGAGCAATAACAAATTGAGGAGATTGGGAATCACAACATGGATCATAACAAAAGAGCATGTTGTAAACAGGCCGGGAACAACTCTTATTCACATTAACTAGGAAAAAATAATTTTGTCTAACTTAGCCAGAGGAGGGTTTACAGGAAAACGCCCTGTTGCATCAAGGGGACTTAAAAGAGAAAACGAAACGAACCGGGCTAACCTCAGTCACCCACCTTTTCCTGAAATCTGTCGAGATCAAATGTTTTATCATATTTGGTTTTTCCGAAAGCTGATGCTTAAAGTAAATAACCAGATCCCGATGCGAATAACGCTCATCTCGAAATATTCTCTCCTTCCGTTTATCTGTACCATAGCAACGGAGGGGCGATGCAGGATGCTGAGCCACTTGCAAAAGTCCGGCAGCCTAAAAGACAGCAGCCAGCTATCGATGTTCGACCCTGTAAAATGCCTTGGACTGATCCAATTTCATCACCACGGCTCGCTTGTCTTCTTCGACACACTCTATGTTCGTGCGCATCAGATGCAGGTTTGCTTTATTTGACTTGTTTTCGTTTTATGATTATTTTTATTTTTTCTGATGGCAGTTTTTTCCAGTAAAATGTCATTTGGACCAAACCTCCTTAGCCAGTTTTACCCCTGATCCGCTAAATGAAATCTAGGTAGGTAGGTATGTAGGTAGGTTCTGGCTCACTAGGTCATATATATATATATATAGAAGGCATGTATATATAATGGTAGGTTTGGCATTAGTTTAAGAATCTTAGGAACCGATGAGTCACATGTGTTGAACTTTGAGGAGAAAATATTGATATAATGTACGCTTCACTGCTCTCGATCGGTCTTTCTGTTCAGCATAATAGATATTTTATTAATATGATTGAAAACATATTTACTCTTGTACATATATATATATATATATATATATATATATATATATATATATATATATATATATATATATATATATATATATATATATATATATATATGAATACTAGCGGTATAACCTGTCTTCGACCGGGTCTTTTCATTACTGGGAATTTTTTGCCTTTTAATTGGAGCAGTTTAAGTTTAAATTCAGCCCACCCGAAAATCAATATTAGTAACAAAAATTGGATGCAGCACAGACACATCCCCATATTGAGGGTTAACAATTTGAATAGGGGTGGTCCTAAAATGGCCCGGTTTTCTTTTTTTTTTCGTTCTCAATCCTATTTCAGCCTCACGCACAGAAGCAGTTGAAGAGGAGTTTCTCCTCAGCCGTTGAGTCCTTTGATCAACATTTTCATCCTCACGCGCAGAAGCGTTCAGGTATGCTCTTCTAGAAAGCTGATGTTTACGTTGATCTTCGGACTCAGTGGCTCTGATTCAAGCATTCCAAGAGGAATTTTGAGACAGGCGAACTGAAAGACAATTCGTTATCTCTTATTCGCATGGCGGTTATGCAACCTAGGCAAGTTCTTTTCTTTGGTGGCATGTCTTAGGCAAGTATGAATTGTCAAATGGAATACGTGGTAAAATACCAGAAGAGAAAGCTGTAAAGCAACAGGCATCACTAAGCTCGAATAACTTTAGGAAAGGTTGAAAAAATAAAGGTTGAGTAATAAAAAGTGCAATCTTACTTATTACAACGGTGAATGCAATACAAAATCTGGCAGGACGATAAAAAATAAATTGGGAACGGCTATAAACGACAATGAAAGCAACGCCTTAAAACTGTTGCAGGAGGCTTCTTGCAGTGGAAACGGTAACCTCACTAGAGGAAGATTAAAACTTGGCCAAGAGAATGGGAATATGTAAGCTGGGGTAGACATACAGATGTAGAAGCGGAAATGCGGAATTAAGCGGTAGCAATGAGCTTAGGACTGCGTAGACAATTAGTATGACACGGGGAAATTTGATTGGATGTTTAAAGGGGATTCATGCTGCCAATGGGCAACTAGACCAGGTGTCGCGTTTCGCAGGCCATGCGTATGCGCGTGCATCAGCGCGTGACACAGCGCGTGTTGCGGGGCAACACGTACACGCGTCACTGCACCGGCTAATTATCATGGTCAAAAACAACCGATAGGCAATGTGTGGAGGTGTGAATCATGCCCACGCAGCATGATCTAGGATTGGAATGTTATGCGTGAAAAAGTAAATTAAATTGCCTTTGATTTTTGCGCAAAATATCAGTTTTCGATCTTTCATTTTCAAGGTTGTAATTTTTTCCAGACAATTTAAACTCAAAACCGGGACTTAAAATTATTTATCGAACAAAAAAAAAATCATCAAAATAGGATGAAAAATGTGGAAACGCATCAGCAACATCCGATAACAACACACACACACACACACACACAGACACACACACACACACACACACACACACACACACACACACACACACACAAACAAAGATACACACATATACACACACATTTTGCAAATTATATATATAGATAATATTATTGCAATAATTTAAAATATTTATTTATATTAAAGTTTTTATGAAGGATATATATCCAAGAATAGATATTAAATAGTAAGACGTTGCTGAGAGTTATAATGAACAGGAAATAGTGGAGAACCATTGCGGGAGACAATTTGCGCTCAAAACCAGCACTAATGAATTATCTATCAAACGCATAAACAATATTCGATGACACACGCATATACACACACGTATTTTGAGAATATATATATATATATATATATATATATATATATATATATATGATTGTGTGTGTGTATATATATATATATATATATATATATATATATATATATATATATTACCAGTCAATAATGAGAAATCAAAAGCCAGTAAATGATAAAGACACTTTACAACAATCTATTCTAGATAAAAAAAATTTGATACCTAAAGAAAATTTTCCCAGAACCATGATATATCTGTCCAAATGCATATAAATTTAAAAATGTATCCCCGTCTCCGCCCCGTTAATTAAAATATTGAAACGGTCAAGATCATTTGCAGTTATTCTGGCGAGTTGAGAATGTCTGATAGAAATTAATCAGATTTCCATCCATGCTAAATTCACGGGCTAAAAACAAAGTATTACTGCATATCTTTATATCTTGATTATTAATACGCCGTCAATTGATAATAAAAACATAAACGCGATTTTTGTGGATAGAATGCCCTTTTCCATCATCCCAAATTTGATTAAACTTTTGAAAATATCTTACCAGATTTAATAATAAAAGTTCTCCCAGTGCACGTTTGTGTTTGTTTGACACTCAAATAGCCCACCTGTGGTTTATACTGCACCTATGCTAAACAGACCTTAGTGACACTTTCTTGGAGAGAGCGTGTTATCTTGCATGATCAACAATCGGAACAAGGCCAGCACACTCAAACACTCGGTCACGATGACTTGTGAGTTCCTGCTAGCACAACTATAAACGCACCCATATATGTATATAAATGTGTACGTATATATATATATATATATATATATATATATATATATATATATATACACACATACACATATATAAACGTGTGTGTTCGCGTGTGTGTGTATCATATTAGAGCGATCTCGATCAGTTTCTGTATTTAGATTATTTAATATTTATTTTATTTATCTGTTACTTTAGCGGCACTCCTTATCTAACGCTGAAATTTAATTTTCTTAGTAGCATTAGTGTTGAAACTTGACTAATGCATGGAATAATAATGCAACACAAAATGTACTTAGAACAAAATGTATTGAAACAAGAAAGTGTACACAATATTTACATATAGTCTTTTGTATATTCCTGGTAAGACCGTTCCTGGAGAATGTGTTGACTGAGTCGCAGTCGGGCAGAGTCTCTGGTTGAATCTCTTGATTCCTCCCTCTCTTCCCGGTACCAACCATATTTATATGGTCGGTACTCCACTATACAAATTAGGTGGATCCTACCACAACAATTAGTAATTTCTTTTGTGCACAAATGTATAGCTGGTATATTTTTCCTTACAGGAATGTATTGCTGGTAATGATTTTCCTATGCAAATGTAATGCTGGTATTTTTACTATAATTTTCTTATACATAGTGTTTTGACCCAAGTTCGAGTGTTAACTATATACTCATAGCCACTAACAGGTGTTACTACCCCGGGCCAGGGAAGACTTGGGATTAACAGCAATTACGAGGTGATCCCACGTTTCGGAAACCTCCCTTGCTGCCGG